ACAGAAAAATGTATCATTTTTTAGATTTACTTGTTTTAATGCTTATTCACTTTATTTATTATCATTTATTCATTTAAAGGGTCATGCACTGTTTGATCATCATTATTATTGTCTTCCATTAAGGCAAGAAAATATGCATTTAACTTATTTGGTCATTGTGACGCCCGTACCTTTGTGCTTCATGTGGTATTAAGACTCCATTTTATTTGAGCCTCTGGCCATTAAATTTCTGTATTGTAATATTTTTTATTTTATTTTATTTTAAATTTCTACCGTTTTTCGTTAAATTATAAAAATTTATTTTAATTTTCATATCATCATTTTATTTTGTTTTCAAAATTTAAAGATTTCAAATTAACTGACAAAAGAAAAAAAAAATGGAGAAAAGCCGCGAGGGAAAAATACTCCAGCTCGCGCGAGAGTGCCCCGCGCGCACGCGCACAAGGCAGGCTGGGCATGCGCACGACTCATCCGCCTACGTGTCGTACCACACGCGCATCTCATGCAGAACAAGCTGTCGCGTCAGGCACACGACAAGTGTAAGAGGAGAGGGCCTAACCTTGCACGTGTGTCAGCGCGCCATCCAAGCGCGCAGGCTAGCTACGTGTGCGCTAGGCCTAACCTATTGCGTGCGGCAGACTTGGACCACGTGCGGCTCATTAGGCCCGGTGCCGTCGGTCTACTGCTATTGGCCTACTACCACCAGCCTACTGCCGCCGACCTACCGCCCCCGTCACCACTGCCGCCATCGCCGCCTTAGGAGTCCTGCCTCCATTGACCATTTGACATCGATGATGTCATGATGACATCATCATTTTCTCTTTCTTCACGTTTTCGCAACATGTGTCGCAAATTCGATGGTTCTCTCCTTTTATAAATTGGACCTCTTCTCCCAGTCTTCCTCACCCATTTTTAGCTTTAAAGACCAAATTCTAGAGATAGAGAGTTAGAGAAGAAAGAAAGTTTGAAGGAAAAGGGAACTAGCTTATAAAGAGTTTAATATTGGTAAAGAATTTAATATTTTCTTATGCATTCTAATATGTGTTTTTAGAAAAATAAAGAAAAGTCAATTTTGATTTTATTGCATGATTGTGGCATGATTTTTAAAGAAAAGAATGTTGATTTTATTGCATGATTGTAGCATGATTTTGAGTGTGTGATGAGTTATTAATTATGATGATTATTTAATTATATATGCGTCGTGTAAAGGCTTAATTATTAGTCATGAACGAAGTTGAGATGCACTTGATATAAAACGAGATTACATGAAATTGTTGCATGACATGAAAGATATGAAAGGAATATATGAAACATGAATTAATCCGTTAGACTATTTTATCTACTTCTGTTGTTACCATCTTGCCTGAAAAAATGTGAGATGACAACTCCTTATAAATGACGATGCGAAAGCTCGTAGATATTTTATGACCACTATAACGAAGTACGTCTGTAGTCATAGTCTTTACGAA